GTTCGCACCCCGCCCCTCCTCCGGCACCAGTCCCCGCCCTCCGCAGCTCCTCCCCGCGCCTCAGCGGCCGGCTGGACGCTGGCTGGGAAGGCTCGCCGATCCGTGGCTCACTGGCCGCCGCGGCCGGCGACACAGGCGCTCTCGGGTCTCTAACGCTGTCTTGGCCGCGGCGTTAGAGGAAAACGTCTCCAATCCGGTCGGTCTTGGACTCCCAGGCAGACTCGTACCTTTTCCGATCCCTGCGTCCTCGCCCACCGCCCGCTGAACCAGCCGGGTACCAGGCTGCTCCGCAATCCCCGAGCGCGGCTTTGGCTGCCTCTTTGCCCAGCCCCATCAGTGGGGCTCGGCCCAGAGGGCGGGAGCAGGGAGGGGAAATGGGGTCCTCACCCCCAGTCCCTCCCCTTTCTCCGCCCGGCGCAAACCGAGAGCCGCTCCTGCCTCAGCGCCCTCTTCCCCGCCCAGGCACACGCGACTCGCAGAGGCAAAGCCATTGGAAAAAGCCCCGCCCTCCGCCAGGCCACCTCCAGACCCCGAGCCTGTGCGCGGCCGCCAACGGCTGCCTGCTGCTACGCATGCGTGATGGCGAGCAATGCGCGTGCATCCTAAGGGCGGTTTCCGTACCTTGACGTTCGGATTCTCTGGACTGGAGAAGTGGAAAGAAAAGTAAGGAGTCGTAGTACACTGAAACTTTCATCGACAAAGCGAGAACGGCAAAGAGGGCACAGACGCGCTCGTGAAAAAAAACGAATCTAATGTTAAGATTAGCCTAAAAATAGTGACGGTTTCTTTATTACGCCAAACCCCTTATTTAAGAAGCTAGGGCGTCGTCGCACTGACTTCTGGGAAACGTAGTTTTGATGCTGCCGGCGCATTCTATTTGCGACAGAAACTACAGCCCCCAGGAGCCACTGCGACGTTGCCTGTGGCGGCCTGTGGCGGCCTGCGATTCAACCGTTAGCGCGCACGGTGTTTGAGAGCGTTGGCTTGGTGAGAACTGTAGGCTTGGCTACCGCTTATTTCTTGACGGGCTTTTTCTTTCCTTCATTTCCTCTGAGATTTTGGAGACGAAGCCATCTACGGCTGTCCTCCTTACTGCAGGACTTTTTCCAGTAATCCGCATGGGAAGGACTAGTCCGGGTACCCGAGCCCGAGGGCGCGCGGCGGCCAGGACGCCAGAAAGGTGGCGATCTTGAGAGTCGGAGAGGTTTAAGGCCAGGAAAGAGGAATGCTGTAGAAAGGGGGGCTCCGCGCCGCTTCTAATGCTTCAGTCCTTTAAAGTGGACTCGTGCGGGATGGATTGGGGAATCCCTGTGCAATTGCCTTTGTTTGCCATTGCATAGGGATGTTCAATGTTATATTTGCTCAGCCAGATGACATCCCAAGCAGGGCTTTGAAAGCGATTTATCAAATCCATTTCGTGTGAGACAAAAAGAAAAAAAAATACCCAGTATTCGTTGGTATAATTTTTTGCAGACTTTAACGAATGATTATGCAGTTACAGTACTGTATCATTGTAGTGGCTAGTAAGATCACTTAGCCCAGTCGTG